CCGAAGAGGCCGTGAACGAAACCAAAGCATGTCTCTATGACACTGCCTTTGGGTCTACTGTAGTCAGGACGACAATTTCCATTTCTGCATTCCACCAATTGCCTTTATTTAGCGTTTTTAATAAGACAACATGAAAAGCTTTTGGACATCCGATAGCCTCCTAAAACGTCACTTTGTTGGCTTCTCACTCTTCCACGAAGGCGCTGGAAGCCAAGGTTCGTGTACCAGTCTGACCTGACAACGGGTGAACCCTCGGCCGCTCTGGCGCCAACCTTCCGCATGGAAGTATTGCTTTGCCTATCAACAGACCTGGACCATCATATCCCATAGATTGGTTGAGTAGACCCTCAAACTGTGGGTAGATCATGGCGATGAACCCGAATCGTCCAAGGTCGCCTAAAGTGTGGTGAGGTATGTTCGTCGATTTTACCACTATCTCCCATATGACACAAGCACACACTTCTGCCTCAACCAATCGGCTGAAAGGTCGACAAGTAGCGAGTCGCTTTCGGTGGTTCCCAGGCGCCAAGCTGGTTGGGTTGTGGTCATGTTTGGCAGAATGAGGTGGTTTTATAGACGGTGCCCAGTGCAATGGTCCAGGCCGGCGGGACAGCTGGTGCCGTCCTTGCCATCAACCTGGTCAACCAAGTCTCTTCTGGAGCCTCGTCATATGAGTTGAGTGTGGACAACGCCATTGCCATCGTCAGAGAGATGGGAACAGCCACTTTTTGTGCTTGTGTGTGCTTGCAGCCAAGCTTGCAAATCGGACCCTTCTTAAATGGGAAAATGTCTGGTCGTTTAAGATGAGTCGAGGAAGAAAAGTTTAGTTTTTAAAACACAATCAGGGGGGCCATGATGCATGGGATACGGGCTCGAATCCCGTCGAAGGTGTTGATGAGAAGAAGGCAAGTCCAACTGAGGTACGATTGCGTTGGGGAGTCTATTTATCAGATTGTAAAGAGAACTCAATCATCAGTCCTTAAGACACCTTTTGATAATTCACTTTGGGCAAATATCGAAAATTTGGGCCGAAAGAGAGTGGTTATTTGTGAAAAGGCTTTTGACGCAAATGAAACCGCATTAAATTGTGCTATTTTTGCTGGTTTCTCCATTTTTCGGTTTTGCTCCTTCTTTCAACTGAAGCTCTCCGCGTTTTATATTCGACCGAGGCTGGTGGCCAAAGCATATTTTCTAGATTCCTTGCTGAAGTCGACAGAGGGGTCATCTGGTCCACATTTATGACATTTACACTTTTAAGCCTGATAAATGTCAGCCACAACGAAACTAGAGAAAACCAGGTTTGTCGTAATGTAGCGAAGTAGAGCGATAACACATGACGCCAAGGGCATTTGCGGGGTTTAAGACAATGTTGGAAGCATCGTATTCGCTAATGGATGTAGACACCCTCGCGATGGATGCTTGATAATGTTTGGCAGTAAAACTGTTTATCCTGTGCATAAGTAACTCGGCCCGACTGTGTATGTGCTGTGGCAAGTTAGGCCGATTTATGGGCTTGACAATCGCCGTGTGGGCCAGGCTTCTGCTGAGAGGGCAAGACGTCACAATCACACATTTGCAGCCAGTTTCGAGACGCTGCATAGTTAACCAGACGATCTGATCGAGCAGAGCAGAGGAGAAAGTGTGATTTTCGGCTCGTTGCCGTTGCGTCTAGTGCGCCAAAAGTCTGTCCTTATGCGGGCCGGAGTGTGATTTATCAGGCCCAGTCGCCAGCCTCTCTGGCAATCAAACCAGCTCAGAGCACACATTTCTGGGATTGCCAGGCCACAGAGGGCGGGTGTGGTGGGTTGTGGTACCGAACTTCAGACTAGACTTCAGCATTTCTCTTATTTGATCCTGTACCTTTGAGTGAGGGCTGGTGATCGCCGAATGGGCAGCCGGGCTCGCTAACAGAGAGCGAGGGGATGGAGTTTAGGAGTCAAGGCGTCCATTTGTAAAAGTGTGTGAAAACAATGAGTCTGCCAGCCAACTCAGCTGTATTCTTCCTTTCTTCCAGATGGTGATTGCCTTTGTCGTTGGACTGACAAACCTCTACTGGTACTTTTCTAAGGTCATCGTTTCGGTGGACATCAGGAATCCAACTGTTCCGGCCATCCAGTATGCTAGCGTCATCCCTGCCTTCCAGAGGTAAGCCGACCGATTCAACCGGCTCGTGTGTAGTTCCGTCCTTGGTAGAGAAGGATAATGATGCCAAGGATCAGGAGCAATATGTTAATACTGGTGATGCTGATGCTGATGATAGTGATGGTTATAATGATGAGAATGATGGTGATGAAGATGATGATGATGATGATGATGATGATGATGATG